TGAGTCAGCCTAGTCATGCTGTTAAGACATTGTGCTCTGCAAGCTGGAACTACCTGGGAGGTTCAGGTTCAATCCTCAGTCCTGCCTAGAATTTGGGTGCTGTGGAGTGCATTTATAAGCCTGGGAAGACTGAGACAGGAGGAGCAAAAGCTATAGCTGGCCTGACCAACATATCGAGTATAAAATGCAATAATATAAAACATCTATGCAAGTAAACATCAGCTGTTTTTCCATCAAAAAAAGCCTAAAACTGGGACCAGCAGTTAGCATAATGGCTATGTTGCTGGACTCCCACATAGGCGACCGCAGTTCCAGTTCTGGACCTGGTGGCTTAAACTCAGGCTGGGTGCATGTGCGTGCATGCCCAAGATCGTGAGAGGAGAATGGAGGAGAAGGGACTGTGGCATGAACATCCCCGCTGGGGGGTGATTTCTCACTTTCTGTCTCTTTGTTGTTATGGCGAGTGCATGCACCCTATAGCAAAAACCTCTCAAAAAAAAAAAAAAAAGCCTAAAACTAAAGAGAATAGTCTCTTTTAAAAATAATATGATGTTAGCCATCCTAAAGTCACTGACTTACCAAGAGAAGAACTTAGTAGTAGCCAAAATACTATCCTAAGTGTGACTATCTGTTCTAGAAAACATAGTCTATGTAGAAAATATCCAAATGATAAACAGAAAAGGTCAACAAACCTAATTTTGAATTCACAATACTAATGGAGAACAACCAACCAAAATGACAGAAACAAAACCCAAAAGTCTTATAAAGACACAATTGTGGGTTGGTCCCATGACCTAGTGGATAGGGAGCCAGATCCTACGTGGCCAACTGTAGTTTAAATCCCAACCTGATGGCTTGAAAAATATACCAGGCACATGTGCATGTAGGCACAAGATCCTGAGAGGATGAAGAAATGGAGAAGGGGGACCAGCATTTAGCATAATGGCTATGTCGCTGGACTCCCAGACCCGTTGGCTTGAACTCACGCTGGGCGTGTGTGCGTGCGTGCCCAAGATCCCAAGAGGAGAATGGAGGAGAAGGGATTGTGGCATGGCCACCCCCCCCTGGGGGGTGATTTCTTGCTTTCTGTCTCTCTATCTCTCTGTGTCTGTCTGGCGAGCGCACGCGCCCTATAGCAAAAACCTCTCCTAAAAAAAAAGAAATGGAGTAGGGATTGTAATGTGACCATGCCCCACTGGGGAGTGCTTTCTCTCTCTCTCTCTCTCTCTGGAGACTGCACAAACTCTCTGGCAATTAAGACAAAAAGGGAGCCTTCTTCTTTGCTGCCCCACAGAAAAAAGGATGGGTCATCAGCAGCTCTACTGGAGCCACCCATGAAAATTTAGCCAGGGTTCTCACTCTTGCCATGTGTGCTTGAATAGGCAGAGTATGATCTGGAAATACGGCCTCAAGAGGTGCCGTCAGTGTTTCCATCAGTATGCAAAGGACATAGGCTTCGCTATCACTTGAACTAAATGATCTTCCTTGAATGGATTGTCCAAGATATCCACCCAGTGAAAGAAATCATGCTGGCTATTTATATATAAAATAAACTTCAATTTAGAAACAAAACAAACAAACAAAAAAAGGGGGTGAGGCAGCAGGTGATGTTGTGGTTAAGGCGACTAGTTCCTGCACAGTCAACTGAACAGTTCAAGTTCTGGATCCAGTGGCTTGAAAAACACACTGGTGCATGTGTGTGTGTGCGGGCCCAAAGTCCCAAAAGAAGAAATGGAGGAGAAGGGATAGCAAGCAGACTATCCCACATAGGGATGCTTCTTGCTTTCTTTCGCTCTCACTCTCTCTGTTTCAGATGAGCATATATGGCCTCTAGCAAATAAAAATAAGTAGGAACAATTACAAAAAAAGACACAATTGCACATCAAAAAAAGTCACTGTGATTTCAAGGTAAGATCTTGTTCATTTCCTTTTTATTTTTAGTATTTTTATTAATAAACACTTATCCAGCCCTTAGTACGTGGCAGGTACTGTTTCAAGCACTTACACACATCAACTCAAATATTCCTTACACCAAACCAGTAGGGTGGGTTTTCATATCCCCATTATAAAGATGTGGCACAGTGAAGTTGTGTGACTTTTTGAGGGTACCTGGAGGAGTGAAGAGGTTATCGAAATGCCCAGAACTATTCCATGTCTTTTGTCTAAAGCTAGGCAATTTTTGCTTGTTTTGTTAAGGAAGGAGAAACAGTATAGTCACACAATGGTTATTTCTAGTATGAGGCCCTGATTCCCCCATGACAACGAATCCCCACAGGACTGGAGGCCCTTAGCACATCTACTTGTGAAGGCATGAGGAGATTCTGACTAAATGGAGAACTAAGAATTTTCCAGGCTAACACTAACAGCCTATTCCTGATCATAATGCCTAGGATCAGCACCGAAAGGAAGCAGAACAACCACACGCTTTCAGAACTTGTTTGATAAATTTAAAGACAGCAGAACTCTTTGGATTTGGATTGTACGTATCTTGCAGCAAAAACCTAAATACCTGAAGGCCTCATATGGTCTTCTGTACTGTGTTTCTCTAACTTGCTTTGACAGTAGCCCCTTCATGATTTTGGACACATCCACAGGTCAACTGAATTATTATTTGTTTGTAATTTTTATTTATATAAAGTCAGTTAAAAAAATTTTAAGAGCTCTTTATCTAAGTTCTATACATAAAGTCAATTAATAGTTATATTTTTATTAACACATTTATCTGTTAAAGTAAAGGAAATCCATGTACCAACTAAACTCATTACATGTTCTTCTGAGAACCCAAATTCTGTGCTGGTGAAAGCCAGTCTTTATCCCCTAATTTTAAAACATAAAAATAATAGAAACACACTTTCAGAAATTATTCTTATAGATGCATATTGTACACACATGTACACACGCAACTATGCACAAACATGCATGGGCATAGATGCATGTACACATATAATTTAGGATGGTTAAGAGCAAATAAGGACTTAGGTAGAAATTAGGCACTAGGTCAGGGGCAGTGAGACGAAATGGACCAACAACAAAGTATACCATTGTAATGAGAAACCACAGAATGTTATCAACAAGATTAAAAACAACACACAAGCATTATGCTTTCTCAAAAAAGACCCTGAAATATGTAAAATAACGTTCAGAGGGTTTTTTTGGTTTGTTTTTATATTTTTGCCAGAAAGCACATGCACTTAACAGAAAGAGACAGTGAGTAAGAAACAGAAAGTAAGAAAGCATCCTCCCATGGGGAATGGTCACACTGAAATCTTCTCTCTTCTTCTCTCTCTCCTTTTGGGACTATGGGCATGCAGGAACATGCATTCGGCATGTTTTTCAAGCTGCTGGTCTCAGGCTCATACCATGAGGTCGGCCAAGTGGGATATAGTATCTTAACTACCCCAACCACAAAACCTTGGGGTTTTGGCCTTTTGTTTGATTTCTTTTTAAAGGAAAACTCAATATACAAAAATTAAAATACAGGGACCAGCAGATGGCATAATGGTTAGGTCGCTGGACTCCAATGTAGCTGACCGTGGTTCGAGACCCAGATCCAGTGACTTAAACTCATGCTGGGTGTGTGTGCATTTGTGCCCAAGATCCCAATAGGAGAATGGAGGAGAAGGGATTGCAGCGTGGCCATCACTCCTAAGGAGTGATTTCTCACTTTCTGTCTCTCTGTCTCTCTCTGTCTTTCTGGTGAGCACATGTACCCTATAGCAAAAACCTCTTCTCCCCTCACCCCCCCAAAAAAAACACCCTAAAATGTAAAAGTCTGATTAATTGGAAAAGAAATAATTAACATAGTTTCTTCAAGAAGACTGAAAAAAAATGTGTACACCTGAAACGAGGAATCTTCCAGAGCCTGGGTACTCCTCAGAGGTGTAGTAGGGGTTAGGGGAGATGGGGTTGGGGGAGGGCTGGTTGCAAGCTTCCTTATCCTTCTGCAGCAGATCCAGGCTTATGTGCTCTCTACAGATACCCGTCCTCACCACATAGTCTTTGAATCAAGGTGCTCCTTGGTTCAAAGAACCAAGGAATGTGGAGACTACAAGTGTTGTTTAGTCTCCTTATTTTACCAATGAGGAAATGAGGCTCAGAGAAGACTCAGGGTAACTTAGTAAATCATAGTAGAGTCAGAACCTATAAAATTCAGTATCCAGATTCCTGGTCTGATGTTTATCAAAATGAAATCACTCTTATACATCCATGTGCTTACTGGTGACCCTTGCAGACCCCATTCATTATGTCGATATCCTTGCCTACCCTTGAAAACCAAGAAGTGTGATTTATCATTATTTCCTTGGGGAGGGGATGTTAACCAGCACCACTTATTGAAATATTATGAGTCAATGGAAATAAATTAGAAACAAGATGAAGTCATTATTTCGGAAAGTGTAATGTAAAGAAACAGCCACGTCTCTTCCTGAAAAGTTATATAAAATCAAATAAGCCTGAAATTGACTAGGAAGCTTCCTTATTAATAACAGAAACAATGATGGAAACAGGAAAAATAATAAGCTACAATTTATTCTTTATTATATACCAACTATTGAACATAGCACTTTATATGTACTGACACCCTTGTGACATAAATATTAATAGTCCTAGTTTAATAAATTAAAAAATGGAGCCTAGATCTATGGACAGGGTAACAAAATGGCATGGTTTGCCTGGGACTATGGGTTTTTTTCATAGTGTGAAACTTTCAGGGCTGAAATCAGAGACATCTTGGATAATGGAATATGGCTGGTCGTCTTACCAGTGGGGTGGGTGATGATAGGAACTTCCATGTCTATCTGACTGCCCAACCACCATATCTTCTATGGGGTAATATCCCTCTATGTGCTGTAGTCTAGGGTTTCCCAGATTGTTTTAAGTAAGAAGGGGCACCCAGTATCTACAGAACAAGATGGTCATACATAGTTTTGACTCTTTGATAAAAGACAGAAGGATAGTTTCAAATGTACCCGCCTCCAGAAGAGTAAAGAAGGAACACTTACCTTGACCTCAAACTCGAAGTGCTCATCCTTCCCTTGGCCACAGAGGACATAGCGTGGAATACTAATTTTAATTGGGTTCTTCAGGTCGTCTGGATTTGCTCCCAAAGAGCGAGAAACCATCCTCTATGAAAGGCATATCAGATAGGGAGAACAAAGAGAAACCAAGATCACTCCGCTGCAAATATCCTGCTTGGGCAGGAGGGAGAAAATGTGTTTCAAGTAGAGAAAAGAGCATCAAACCAGTAGAGTTCATTTAGAAAAATGATGGCTTCCTTTGAAAGAGAAATGCTAAGTCTCTCTCACAACAAAAGACCATTTCTTTAGGTATGCCATTCTAAGAAGGTAGGGCAAAAGCACTTCAAAATGCTGCTTGGCTTTGAAGTTCCTTCCAATTTATAAGAACAACTAAACACAGGGACAGATTACATATCCTGACTTAGGGGGAAAAATGGTGTAAACTAGATTTCTTTCTGAAAAGTCTTGACCATCTGACAAACTTTTTCTTCACAGACTATCAGGCTGTTATACATAAGGCTGCAAAAGCTGGAGATTTTATTCAAATTTACTTCATTTTTAACTTTCAGGCATTTTTATAAGCCAGTGTAGTGTGGAAAGCTCTTTAAATCACAATTAAAACAAATCCCAAGTATTTTCTTTAGGCTCAATTTGATTAATAATCAACTAGGCTCTGACAAGTATTTATGGTCTGGGTGCTGGGAAGCCAGAGGGGTTTGAAAAAGCAGCATTATGAAAAAAAATAAATCTTCAAAAATGAGTTCTCTTGAGTGTGAACAGGAGGAAATCTCTGAACAATTCCTTATTTGCACTAACCTGGGGCTTTAGAAAACATAAGAAAATAGGTTTTTGATGCAGCAGCAGTAATAAAATAATTAGAATCATAATTATAGTTAGCATTTATTGAATGCTTTCTATATACCAAGAACTGCTGAACAATGACCATGCATTGGCTCATTTCGTCCTCACAACCCCCCTGTGAGGTATTAGCCAATATTAACCCCATTTGTCAGATGAGAGCCCAAGACTAAGATTTCGTGTCACTTGCAAAGGTAAATGGTAGAGCCAGGATTTGAACCCAGGCTAATCTGGAGCCCACCTTCATCATTACCATGCTATACTGCTATCATAAAATTTGAAAATAATTTCACCCATTTGAGATAAGGAATACTTCAAATATACACAGAAACTAGAAGGTGGAAATTCCATTATTAAGCAATAAAACCTACTTATTTGACTAAGATGAAATAGTTAGCAATAAAATCCCTTTGCCCCTGGCAGAAAGGGGTATAGGACCCTTGGATGCTCAGCAACAACCCTTGTCCAACCCCTGGGTGTTGGACAACAAAAGATCCAACCACTGTATATGTGAAACCTCAGGCTTCCGGATGACCCAGAGACATGTACATGGCGTTTCAGATTGCTACACTCAGTCTAGCTCAGGGTGTGAACATTCTGGCATGAAAGGAAGTTACAGAGCCTTTTAGAGTATCTTGATTTTCCCCCGAGTGTGGCTGGTGATTGTTTACTACAATGATAAGCTTATTTAGCTGTCCCTGATGTCAGATACAGTGGAAATTCTTCTTAAAAAGGATATTTCCCTTTAAAAAAATATATTGCATTTTCAAATCACTCAGTCCATTTTCAAATTACTTTAAAAGATAATTCTTAAAACATAGATATGATTGCCTATTATTTAAGATGAAAAGGCAGAGACATAAATTAGTGATTTGTATTTATAAGAACATATTTAATGTTAACAAATATTCTCGCTCTACAAATGTAATAGTTTAGCCATGAAGTTCTCACTCTGCTGCCCAACCCTGATCCTTTCAGTGTCATGCTTGGTAACTGTTTTCCTCAAGTAAAAACATCATCTCTTTTGCCGATCTGACATAATCTCTTGGGTAACAGATCTGTTGCGCATGCTGTGTATTTGTGTGTGTGTGTGTGTGTGTGTGTGTGTGTGTGTGTGTGAGAGAGAGAGAGAGAGAGAGAGAGAGAGAGAGACAGAGAATGTATTGGGGGCTGGGAAGTGGAAGTTAGGGGTGAGTGAGTACTCTGTAGCTAAAGTCAGTTCTGCAAAGGGGAAGGCTGCTGTAGGATTTCAAGCCACAGTTAGGACCTGATATTATGAGTTGAGAAAGAGAGAGTCCCTCCCTCTACCTTAGGAGGAAACTTGACCTTCCTCATGGGTTAGACCAATAGGCCAATACCACAGTTAATTTGGTGAGGAATTATCTCTGTATAGTTTTACACACTGGCCTTAGAGGCGAGAAGAAAGGCAGGAAAAAAGGTAGTCAATTTTTTTTTTTTTTGAGAGGTTTTTCACTATCGGGCGCGTGCGCTCGCCAGACAGCCAGAGAGAGACAGAGAGACAGAAAGCGAGAAATCACCCCCCAGAGGGAATGGCCACGCCGCAATCCCTTCTCCTCCATTCTCCTCTCGGGATCTTGGGCACGCACGCACGCACACACGCCCGGTGTGGGTTTTAAGCCACCGGGTCCGGGATGCGAACCGTGGTCGACTACGTGGGAGTCCAGCGACGTAGCCATTACGCTAACTGCTGGTTCCCAAGGTAGTCAATTTTTTTGACTGGAATGTCATATATGAAGATCAATCAGAAAACTATGGAACTAAGGTGGATCTCAAGCAAGCCAACAGAAGCTCTTGGAAAGATGGCCTGGCCCCATAAATAATTCTGCCTGGCAGAGAGGATTCGAGAAGATATATGAAAGAATTTATAACAAAATAACCCGGACTTTTCCATCCCAGCATTGTAATCAGTAGAGATTACAAAAGAGCAACCACATCAGAGGATTATCTTGAGGAAAGATTTTGAAGGAAGAAAAAGATATTGATCTTTGCTAGCAGATGGTATATCACAGAATACTTGGTAGGCAGGGCTGAATTGAGAAGGTTTATGTGTGAATAGTGTGCTGGGCATTTGCTTTTCAACAATTTGAGTAGCTGACATGTAAATATTTTCTCAAAAATATTTAAAATCATACTGTTTCTGCTGTTATACAGTCATAAACAAAATTATACAAAATTGTAAAAAATATTTTGAACATTATCTTTATAATTCAGTATTTTGAAATTTTGAAAGTTGTTTATTAACTGTCAAGAACTATGGAGTATAAGCAAAAAAAAAAAAAATTTTTTTTTTTTAGAAATTATATGGTTTTATAATTTTCTCTTTTGCTTCTTAATCCACTGAAAATAATTTCAATTCAACACTGTAGGCAGCTTCTTTTTCACTTTCTTCGGTTTCTACTTCTTTAGGTAACAAGGGATCGATCTTGAGTAATAAACCTTCACTTGCTGAACTACGAAGAAAAGCACGTAGGGACTCAGAGGTCCATGCCTACAATCTTCATTAATAACTGCTTGCAGATTGGCAGCTATCTGATCACTTGACAGGAATATTATTCAGCCATAAAAAAAAAAAAAACAACAAAACCCTAGCTTTTGACGGAAAGTGGAAGAATATGGAAGATTTACTGCTGAGTGAAGCAAGCCAGTCTATGAAGGAGAGACATTGTATGTGCCCACTTATGTCTGCACTCTATGACTGAAAATGATTGACTAGAGGATATAGAAACACAGAATATGGACGTAAACACCAGATATAGTGTGTGTGAAAGAGTCGGGTCTGAGGAAGGACATCTAGAAGAAAAATAGGGAGGCAAAGCATTAATGGGACAAAGAAATGTGATATTAACTGTGGAAGATATTTTATAGTTTTATCAACTAAACTATGAAGATATGTTCACCTGTTGAAATATTCACTTTGTAAGCTAACTAATGTGACTGAATGTATAAAAGAAAACGAAATAAAAAAACGTAAATAAAAAAATCGTTTTCTTCTGACCAACTAGGAACAAAAATAGTAAATTGTTCTTAAATATCTCATAACCTTGCTGAGAGATCATTAGTAATGTTCTTTCAAACCTGTCTACTGACTGCTGTCACTTGATGTGTATGATTGTCACACATACACACGTATGTGAGAGATGATCTGAAAGACAAACTCAAAAGTTTTTCACCATTTCTCTATCTTTTATATTCAAAGCTTTCAAGATCATGTATATATTAGGGTTTCAAAAAGGTATGGATGGCAATATCAATGAGTCTAACACTTGGCACTGAAATTATAATTTTATCTATTTTCCTGAACTAGACATAGAAAATGGACTTGAAATTACAGGGGTGACCACTTCAAACACTCAGAAAGAGAGAGGAAGAAGACTCAGATACCAGTATTCACTCCAGGACTTGGTCTCAGAGCGATAGTCATTCACCTTCTCTGTACTCCAGTTTCCTAGTCTATGAAAATGGGCAGGATATTATCAAATTCTAACTATTGACTGGGCCATTGGAAAAGTCATGAAATGTTTAAAATGTGTCATGACTTTTCCAATGACACAATATATCCAAGAACTCCCCCGTGACCATGACAGTGTCCTGATGTGTGGGACTAAGGTGAGAGGCAGAGGCTGACAAGTAAACTGATAATTCTAGCAGGATTACAAAGCTGTGATAAAGAGCTCAGCATGAACCACGATGAATATCTACAATGCTAGTTAAACATCATGAATTTTACCATGGGAGAGTTGCTGTTGAAACCACCCAGGCATATTTTGTTAGCTAAGTTCGAGGCTTAACTTTGACTTTTGAAAGGCCTTTTTTTATAGGCATCCCTAAAATATACAATCAAACATTGGCATCTTTTACTTAAGCACACCACCTATGTCAATGCCCTGTCAACCACAGAACCGGTCCTGCAAATACAAAATAATTTTACAAATTATTTGCAATTTCTTAAGACCTTTAGTTTTTCTCAACTTCATTACATTTTGAACAAAGATTTAGTATTTCCATGTTAGATTATATTCTAAAGGCAACATTTGGTAACTTGACTATCTGTAAATCCATGCTCAAACTGGCATAAGACTGTAACTACGAGGGCCTTTTATGACTGGAAAGTTCTCTATTTCTAAGAATATGTACCTGTAAAATCAATTTCTAATGGAAGGAAACGTGCTAGAGGCTTAGGCTCATCTATCCTTTACATAAGAAAAAAAAAAAAACCTTACCTTTGACAA